AAGCCCGGCCAGGAAAGGGAAGTGCGGGGCGCGGCGAGGGCCGGGGGCGATGCAGCCCGGGACCCCTCCTTCCTCCCACCCTCTCCCGGTGCCTGCCCTCCCTAGAACCTCGGAGCTCCCCCTGGCCCCCTCACGGGGCTGTGGGCTGGGGGTCCTGAGGGCAGGAGCCGCTGGGCTGCGCTCCTGGTGGGGAGGCCTGGAGGGAGCACGCCCAGCTTTGGAAATGTAAATGCGGCCCCGCTGTGCAGGTGCTGTCCTGCACCCTGAGGAGGAGGGCGCCCGAGTCCCTCCTGTTCAGACCCCCTGCCCAACTCACCAGCCCACAGCCCCGGCACTTCTCCATGTGTTTAACTCAGCACCTACCGTGTGCCAGACACTACTGTCCCCTCACTTAATCCTCACGACCCAGCTGTGGCTGCTACGCTGGTCTCCCCTAGCGTACTGGTGAGGAAACTGAGGCACTGAAACGAGGAACACACTCAGGTAACACCGGCAGGCAGGATTCAGCCAGGGAGAGGGCTCCACAAACTCTGAGGCTGGGCACTTCCGAAGAGGCGTCCCCTCTTCCAGGAAGCCCTCCCAGATCCTCTCAAGCAAAAGCCTCCCTGGGACTCCTGGCTCTGCCTCCTGGGAGCATTGTGCCGGGAACGCATGTGCTCCCCAGACTATGAGCCCCAAGGGTGCAGCTGGCATCACGATCCACTCTGTGCCTGCCCTGGCCACCCAGAGCAGGGTGGAGGGGCATGGGTGGCACCCCCAGCACAGGGTCCCTGGAGGCCTGGCCTTGCTTGCAGCTCTCAAACAACCTGGTCCCTGCAATCTGAGGTCATCAAGGGACCCTGCTGAGAGCATGACCCACTCTCCCCCTGCCAGGCTCTCCCCACCCACACTTCCAGACAGCATCACCATCAGCCTGGCCCAGCTGTGCTGGCAACCCTTGTCTCCTCCCACCCCCAGGTGGGCAAGCAGGCCAGGGGCCGAGGACAGGAGGACTGTGCCCAGTCTGAAGGGACCCATGGGAGCCCCCACCCAAGGGCGCACCAAGCCAGGTAGCCCTGCCTGCCAGCTCATAGACCCCCAAGGGTGTGAGCTCCCTGGCAAGGACACCCACCCACATGGGTGCACCCAGCACCACAGGGAGACACTAGGCTCTGACTCCTGCCCAGTGCTCTCAGCTCACCACTTCCAGCAGCATCTCTGTGAAGGTCCAAGGCAGGAATGGGTCAGCTTCAGGGACTCTGCCCCACCAGTCTCCAACCTCAGCCACTTTCTAAGGATACCAGGCTAGACACTGCATTCCCCGAGCAAGGCACCAACACCTGCCACACTGCACTGGCGAACCACAACAGCTCAGAGAAGCTGAGCAACCCTCCTGAGTCACACAGCCAGAAGGCAGAGGAACCACAGTTGGAGCTGGGTCTTGCTGCCCCCCAGAGACCCTGCTTATCCCAACTCTAGCCCTCTAGGAGAGAGGACCTCTGGGGTAAGCTGTTCCTGCCACCCCAG